TACATCTTCAAACGCAAATAATTCATAATTTCTAAGACACATATGTGATGAAGACTATGAACCGTCTGTGATAGAAGTGGATGAAAAAAGTTCGCGTGAAACCAAAGCTCTACCACATACCCGAGGCTCTCGTAGAAGCAGCTTTCTCCTCACAAAGGAAATAAAAAAAAAAGAAAAAAAGGATCCGACGATAACGTCGGAACGTGTGCCACCCGACTGTAATGGGTCGCATTACGTGTCCGTCGTTTGTATCTCCGATGTATACGCTAACATGTAGCAATTACAGGTGACTGAGGTCAGTGTTAATATGACGGTCGCGTGAGAGAGCAGCTCCAAAAATGATATGGCTCGCGAGCGGCGACGGCGCGTTTTCTTGCGTAAGCCTTCCATATAATACGCACGACACATCCTCCTCCGTAGGCAAAGGTCCCGGGCGTAGGAATATATTAATTTAGTGTACTCATTACGTATTGAAAGACCCACGGACGCGGCGTGCGGAGTATGTAATACTTCTCCGACGGCGGTTGCGTGTAATGACAGTTCTACATGTGCGGGATGCAAGGTCGCATGACTGTATGTGTGTGTGTGTGTGTGTGTGTGTGTGTGTGTGTGTGTGCGTGCGTGTGCACGCGCACGCATGATCACTATGGAAGCGAATTTTAGCGACATGTCAAACTATAAACCGCTCTTTAACATACGTATCCTCAAATAAAGCTACGTACAGTTACAATGCCTCATTATAAAACGCGATCGAGATTTGGTAAAAACAAACGCCATTTTGACTGGTTATTTTAATCCTTCTAATTATTACACGTCACATTCTCATGTAAGACAGCCGTTGTATATTTAGGTTTACTTCCAACGTTTCGCGAATAATTTGCGTTTAGTTAGAGTCTGAATACAAAAGCTGAGTAGTTTTTTTTTTTTTTTTTTTTTTCCGTAAGAAAAACAGGTTACGTTTCTCGAATTAATTGCAGTGAACACAGTCCATCGCTAAGTATTCCTAGCTATTAATTCCGATACGTCTTTTTTATCCACGGAGCCTTGCTCACGAGACCTTGCCGCCAATCTCTACCTATTTATTCGTTGAATCCACATACGCGTGTGATGGGGTTATCGTATCTGTTATCATATTATGAATTTTTATTTGGCTATCGCTAATATTGCGCAATTAACGTAATCTACCTGCAAAAGACCTTCGTCCAATATCAGACTCCAACATTCTGTATTTCCTTGGTACGTGTGCTCGTTCGTCTGCGGATGAGGTTTGACGAGGGCTTGCTGCACGTCGTTCATGTGTATCTTTTTCACTCAAAATATAAATTAGGCACGAGATACGCACCGGGTACTGACGTGAAATTAATCAAATACTATTAAAGTAACAACTTTCTTCACACGACCTTTTTTTTCTTTTTTTTCATAAAACTTCCATCCCGCGGCAAGAATTGCACATTTATCCGTTGGCACGCAAATTTGAATTAATTTTAATCAGGTACGGTTTTTTTCTTAGTGAATAGTATCGCGTTATTCCAGGATGTTATTCCTGCATTCGGATATTTCAGTCCATTAGCGATTCTGCGATACATAAAATATCATTTTGAGAGGTACGACGAGGAGATTTGTGTATTCAACGTGGGCGGTCTCACGAAGTGACGTGAGAAGGGTTTCTTGGCCTCGTTCAAATCGCTTCGAGCCTCGTACAAATGAACGTGATGCGTTTCATAGAGATAGTCATTGTACTAGGTAGCTTTATCACTCGCACACTTATATCTCACGTAGTTTAATCTCCGTCTCGATAGCGTATTACGCATCGTAGAATTTACTGTTCACGTAACACCGATTCAAGATCCTTGAGATTAGACCGCAGACGTACGAAACTTTATGCAAATTATCAACCTCGCGACGGTAGAGCCACCGGCTCGTCAAATATACAAGGCTGGAACAGAGCGGTCGCGGAAGTCCAACGATCTCATTTTGCAACCAGTTTTTCATTGACAATACAAAGTGTCTTCCCGGCGATGTCTGGGCGGGAAACTCGGTTGGTATCCTCGAAGGCGTGGTCTCCCAGCTCGAGATCTTAACTTCTTTTTCTTCTCCTTCTGCGAGAACCGTTTGAACGTCGCACTATCGGCGGAATCGCGCTCGAGTATAAAGAAACCTTCCGCAACCGTTTATCGCGCTCATCTACGAAGCGGATGTTCGCCAAGCGAGATTCGCCTTCCCTCAGGTGATCGTCGGAGGTGACTTTTCCGCGAGATTAGCGTTCACTTCCAGCCGCGTGTCGTCCGCGAATGTCAGCGCCGACGTTCAGGATCACAAACATCGCGATCGCGTCCACCGCGGTTCATAGTAGTAGGGGCCCGTGCCACCTCTCCCATTGGCGGGTCTTTTCAGACTTGCTCCTCCACGTGCACGCGAAGAAGTCACACGTACGCGTTGCGTCACGTCTCACGCTGGATGGACTCGCCGTGGACTATCCTGGTAGGTCATTGTCACGATCGTCTTCTCTTACAACGACGTGATTTCTCGACGGGACGCATTGTATGATGTGCTCCGGACAACAGTGTCGGAATTCAAGTCCAGGGAAACGTCAACTTTCTAGAAGGGTTCCTCAGGATGATTTTCAGTTCATAGCGTGGCTTCATCTTGAGTTATGTCTTACGTACACTTGATTGACCCGCTCATGCATTTTAAGGATCTAATGTGTGTTTATTTCGAATTCAATACAAGTAAATGTATTAAAATATAAATAAATGTATTGATAGGTATATATAAATATAGATATTAATATATGTGTAAATGTATATGGTAAGATTTATTATTAACATTTCAATGCATTAAAATAAGTGCATTCTTTTTATAGATCTGATATAAAAAGTAATTCATGTTATTATTTGCTTTTCTTGGCAAGCAATGGTTCCTGGTTTCACGTTTCTGAGTTATTAAAAAGATAAGAAAACGATTATTATATTACGTTTGTATATACAACTATAATCGAATTGCCATTTGCATTATCGTCCAGCTACTGTCTGTGATAAAGTTTAATTTATGTTTTATATAAAACACACGCCGCGAATAAAACAGGCGGCTCAAGAAGTATCAGGCTTACGCGCATAGCTTTCTCTAATGGGTATGATCCATTCGAATCTAAAACTTGTTTCGCGCGTGCTATAAAATTCTATAATGCTATAAAGCGATAATGAGGAAAGAATCTGAAATGCCGTGCGATATCCCTTATAAATAAAGTACTAAATGAGAATAGATACCATAACTTGTACTCTGGAGTAAAAAAATAATTTTTGAAAACGTGAAAAGAAAGTCTCTTTTAACGATTATTTTAATTTCTTGAGAAACAGATACGGTATCCAAAATATCCCAATTATTAAAAAAGAAATAAAAAGCATTAATTATAGCAAGTGGAGTTCTTTCTCGAAAACGATTATCGTCGTTAATTATCACTGAATTTTTTTAAATCGTAAAGAAATAAATTGTTGTGTACCATTGCAGTATATTACGTTGAGCAAATTGTCACTGGTAATAAATCATAAACGAATTCTTCCGGAAAGATCTCTTACAGCGATATAGCAAGTTATACAAGCACATAGTAACCCAACAAGTAATAATTATAATCAACAAGCTAGCCTTTTGCGACTGTAAAAAAATGCGGAAATCTGCGATTGCCACCAAATATAAACAGCACACTTTAACTGTCCAAAATGACAGTATAATACTCCTATTAAAACAAGTTGTAACGGCCATTTATGATTGCCGTGTTTAGATTGTTGTATAGGCATGAAACTTGTGAAAGAATCGGTACACAGATTCAGCAATGCAATCGCATTGAAGTTTTAAAGGAGAGATGCATATAAGATATTTTGATATCTTTAATGAAAATATTTGGTATCCTTAATGAAAACTAAACGCGCAACATTAAATTGCAAAATACTACAGTAAACATGTACTTAAAGCGTAATTATAACAATAAAAACAAAAGAATATTTTGAAACTTTTTTATTAACTATTAAAAATATTGTATCACCAAGAGTTTTGTAAAAAAAAATCTCAAATATGTTTTTTTCGAACTAGAATTTTGCTCCAAATTATTTGTATTTCAGATTTCTGTGTGTTATATTATTTTAATGGTATAACAATAATAATCGTAAAAATTAAAGTTTCCAAAATTAATTTTTTTCGTGATATAGATACAGAAGTGATCCATTTTCAATTGCGTTATTACATTATAAAAAATACCGTTACGACGTATAATTATGGGGGCCTCTTAAAAGGGGGTGTGCGCCGCGGGAATGGAGCCACGGCGTTTTCGCGGTCAACGTTGTAAATAAAGAGTGTCCCGTTTATGGATCGTAAACGCCGCTCTAACTATGCGCGCCGTTCTTATCTTCCCGACGTTTGTTTCCTACTTCGTATATCACCGGCTGTACCGTGTGGTATCATCGCGCGTCATTGCGAACCTCTCATTAAAGGAATGTCGAAAAATCGCAAATGCGGCGGTTATTCCCGGCGACAACATTCGCAGCACTTTCAGCGTCTCTCAAAACTACAACCGCGTATATTACGAACTAAAAGTATCAAGACGACAGAAAGGTCGCTCTAGTTAAACGTCAAGTTAGACCATCTTACATCACAGCCGTATCAAAGCATACACCTGCTCTAAGTGCAAAATGATTTAAAATAAAGTTAAGCCTAGGCAATTTGTTTACATAAAGATTATTGAGATGTATTAAGCGACATCGGAGATTGTTATTACAGTGACGATAATTCAACATCCATGACACTCGATTAGAAACCGCGTCGGATAGTTCAAGATAATTTTTCATTGATTCATTTATAACGACATGTACGTTCGATAGGAGAAGCCTGTGTACTTTGTACATAAATCATTATACATTGTCGCAATCATAGTGACATTGTATACGCAGTAATGAGAGGCACTGGCCTTGGTTCTAACCTACAGGCAATGAAATCAGGGTCGCTCGTACCTGGAAGGAGCGGTGGTGTGGATGATGGGGATGATGAAACTGCGGTGTGTGAATCATGTCGCCGGTCTCGGGATCCTCGCACCTAGAAGATGACTTCGCGACCTCGGCGTTACTCGAGGCGGTAATAGCCGCGTCGCCCTCTGCACTTGCGGAGTCCTCGGTGGTATCTTCTTTCTTCTTCTTCTTCTTCACTTCCGGCTTCGTTTCCTAATAATCAATCTTTATATAATGATCATAATATTGCAACTTCACCGAGGAGCGAAACGCGTTAATCACATAAAATTTAAGTATTCCAATACATTCAACGTATATAAATATCTTTCCATCACGAAGAGATTCAAATAACATCAGGCATATACTAATGGAACATTACGTCATTATAATATATATAATATAATATTTAAATAGAGTTTGGAGAAGAAAGACTATTATATTAAAAAAGAATCAACAAAATAATTAATGCTAATTTTACACGAATTTTCGGTTTGTATTATAAACAGTATTATAAAAGATATATTTATAAAAATTAAATATAAAAGTAAATACAATTTTGTTATTTTTTGCAAAGTGGCTAACTTAGTACTGTAATACAGACAAAATATTAACTATTTTGCACAAAGCGTCAAATTGTAGTTACTTTCAAATAGAAGATACGAAGTTCCACAAACCTCTGATTGAGCCTCATCGAGGCCAACGAGCTGAAGCGCCTCTTCGAGATTAAATTCGTCGGGCAAGCCCAGAGTATCGTTGCTAAGCAGACCTTCTACACCGGTGCTTTCCAAGAGACTACCTCCGAGTAATTCTGAAGTAAAATCATGCTCAAGTCCTAGAGTGTCGTTTAGACCGAGAGAATCATCAGTTAAATCAGCCAAAGGATGATTGTCCAAAGCCAACGATGCTTCGTTGAGAAGCGGATCGTCCTCTTCGACGATGCTACTTCCACTTCCGTTCTGACTGCCAGAGCTGAGAATGTATTCGCCTGTAAAGAATTATATATTCGCTCGAGATGATCGATTGAAACTTATTGTTATAGCTAAATTGTTTCAAGAACGACGATTGATGAAAAAGAGACGTGTTTCTAATATTATATGATTCATCGTGAGAAATATGCATGCTTTGAAGCGGCACGATGAAACATAAGCGAGCGTAAACAAGTTCGCGTGTAGTCGCAAGGTTCACGTAGAGATCATCCAAGAATACTTAATTAGTCGTCTGATTGCGATGTTATACAGGTTTCTTATCCATCCTATTATGCAACTTTGTCCTGACACGAAATCGACAACTGTTACTTTGTATACATTCTATAATTTTCATCCAGCAATGTAGTCATTATGGAACACTTTGTAAATTTTTGTTCTATTTTTACATTGTTGTATTGTTAAAAGTTAAATGACATAATTATGTAATGATATATTACGATAATGATTAGATATATGATATAATTATGCATACAGAATATTTATATGCTATTTATATTATATTTAAATTCAAAGATAAAAGTCGTTTGCATACTTTTATATATTTGCAAAGATTAAAGATTAAGAATCGGAATGGAAAATAATAAATGTTTCCATATAATCAGATTGATATCTATGTGATCTCTAAAACTAAAAACTAGTAATTACGGCACATTAATTATTGATATTATTTACATGTATTAGACTATATTCATAATAATATAAAAGAATAATCGCGATACTTGATTCTATTTCACACATTATTTATTTAAAAAAATAATTATCGTTCTATAGCTATATTAAAATTATTATCATTGTTCATTGATATACAACAAAATTGTTAGTCTTCGACATTTTCGCTTTTCTTGTATCCACACCATCAACAAAATAATTAGCAGCATTGTGATTAATTGTTTATTACGACCTTATTACGCCTACATGAATTGTGAGAAAAAAATAATTTCACAATATTTCACTGCAACGAATAAACTTATGACTTGACAAAAATAGATTCGAAGCGCGGCGCTCGAAAACTGGTAGCTAGCGACGGGTAGAACAAATTTTTCAGGGGAGTGGAGAGAGGAAAAAAACTTAACTAATTGAGGGACAAAGAGGGATGTTGTTGGAGATCCACCTGCTAGTTCTAACAGCCCTCGTATGTTCCCGCCCTACAGCCAATCGCGTAACCGCGTAATCCCTCGCGCGTGCATGAAAAGATAACATGGATAACAAGACTGTTCGAATCGTTCGTAGTTTCCAAAATGCATAACAAATAACTAACAGTGTACTTCCATATGTCTCAAATAGACAGATAACAGTTTTTATATTTAAACAATAAAAGCTTCGAAAAAGCATTTGTCATTTCTTTTAGAATCTCACTCTAGGTAAGACTATTATTTTTCTTAATTCTAAAATAATTTTGCACATTGTAAATGATTCGATAGATATGTTATAAGGAGAGAAAGTTTTCAATAAAAATGATTAAATTAATTCAACTATTTATTTATAGAGACTAAAAATCTGTAAAATTTTAATATTATTATACTTATGTACTGTTTGATAAAAATAAGTAAATATCGTAAGTAAAAAAAATTAGCAATAATTTGCATGATAAATATTTAATACGAAATAAGTGAACATATATATTTATCGTACTTTATATATTTAAATAATAAACGTACAATTAAAACATCTATTTGTGTAAAATATGAATTATGAAAGTAATTGAGCAATGTTACATTATATTTGATTTTTAGGAGCTTCAATTCATATTGAATTTTCTTATTTATGATTGTTATTTGCCAGAATGGTCCACATTTCATTAGAGCATTAAGTGAAAACAATAAAAAGGATTAAGTGGAGGGCAATTCGAGAGATATCGATAAATGTAAATAAGATATCAATTATATATAAAAGATTAGAAATATAATTAAACCAAAATCAATCGCACAGATGACATGTTTCGGCTCTTGGATTGGCCTTTTTCAGATGTAAAAATCAAGTCCATCGCAGAAACAGTCGAATTATAATGTCTTCGTTTATATTGTGATGTTAAACAAGAAACTATCCGAGAGAACAAATTCGCTGACAGAAAATTGGTAAATCGAATGTTGGTCGAATCGATAATCCAGATAGTACTCATGATGTGTTTATCGCAAATTTATATTTTTACAAAATTTTTTAAATAATGTAAATCACGTTAGAATAGATCAATCAACTAGTCTTGGAGAATCGAATCTAAGTCCAATCGTGTCGTCGATAATGATTAAAAAAATTAATCACAAATTTAAGCAGTCAAAAATTAGTAATAAATAAACGGAGTCAAAAAATTATTATAAACTACACGAATCGACTAACCGACAAAAAGTCTATTAAGTAAAAAGGCTTCTAGAATCTCTACCTGGACTTTTGACAAAACATCGATAATATCGAACAGCTCGAGCGAGCTACTTCTACGCGTGAAACATTTTTCCATCAAACACAAAAGCATACTCCTTTCTCGCCTCGTAGTCGGGCGATGTTATTAGAGATAATAATCTCATAAAATAATAATTCCTCTTTCGGGAGCTGCCTGGAACCTGAACAGGTCCGCCTGACGAAACGGCAGACAGGTTGATCGTGAATGAGGATTTTCGTCCTGCGCGGTTCCTACCGTTGAGTGCCGGTGCCTCCCAGTAAAGGGAGAGATCGCACCTTTTGGATGCCTATTACATTAACGAGTGGTGGCGGCCATTGTCTGACCCAAATGCGAGGCCGACCGCGCGATAATGGCCGTCTATAATTTGAGGGAAGTCAGAACAGCCCCTTCCCGGTCGACGTAAACCCTATTTAAAGCCCCGTAAAATTACGAGGTGAAATTACTTTCACATCGAACGTGCGCCACGCGTAATTGGTACAAGCATAATTTTTAACCAGTGCAGCATCATTTATTGTGACTTATTATTGTGTATAATTTTCTGCTTCTCTCTGCTCTATAACAAGTATTTACAAAATGTAATTTCTGTTACATCCTTATTCTCGCAATAGAAATTTATCGTATATGTTAGCTTGGAAATATAGAAAATACATCAATTTTTTATTCTTCAATCAAAAGAAATAGACAGATAAGATAAATATGTATAAAAACCGTTATAAATAAATGTTACAATATTTTAGATAATTTTAAGCTAAAAAAATAAGAAAATCTATTAATTCTTTTCTTTATTTAAAGATATTTAGCAAAAAAATTTTACAATAAGAACATCATATTATTTTTCATTTTTAGATTCGATAGGTTCAATTATTCTTTGATGATCTTATTGTTCTAGAGAATTAATTTGTTTAAGAACATAAAATTTCTGTCTATCAAATACTGTTAAGGAATACGTTTATCAAATTTTTCATAGAAAATAATTTAATAATATAATGCATTAGTTTTTAAATCACAAAAATTTCAAAGTTTGTCTCCAATCGTGTCAAGTTCGTTGCAATTGCTGACGTTTGTCATTTTAAGGAGTAAATAAGAAAGTTTCAGTTTTCTTGGATGTGCTTGAGATTTTGCCGTCGGAATAAATTTTCCTTCGACCAAGCCCGTCGTCCGGAATTCGCTCTATCACGCTACATCTAATGACGCGGCCCTTCGGCTTTTTCAATTCCACGGCTTCTTTGAAGCCCGTGTTCGGCTTTTTCCCTGGCCACGGGAACGTCGACAGATCATTTCTCATATTTCGCGCGCACGCTTAACGACCATTTTCTTCCGCCCCCCTCTCTTCCTTTTTCTCTCCCTTCAACCCGACGGTTGGATAATAATTCTTGCATTACTCGACAGAATTTTCGGTGTCGACGGTCCTATACCGAGGACCGCAGGAGAACGCTCTCTTATTCGACCTCTTTCCAATTCGTTCACAGCGTATATATCCGACGGGACACCGGAAGGGAATCCTCAAAGCCAAATGCGTCGGCACGATTGTCCTATCCCCGGAGATGACAATACGTATACATGTCGCGTTAATCTCATTCGTACCCTTGACAAAGGGTGACGATCCGGTTCTGGTACCAGTCAACTCCAGAACGGAGCTTGACGTCTCATTCGGAACCGAAGGAGTGCGCGAATCGTCGTGCGTCACCTGCCGTGAACGATAAATCGTAATTGCGATCATCAATTCTGCCGCTGATCAATGTCGAACTGTCGACCGTTTCGTCGTGTCTCGTTTCGTCGTGTCTCGTTTCGTCAAGAGTGTGCGAACCGGTCGGTCGATTGGATAGACGCGTGTCCTCGATGTGTCTTGTGCTTATCATATCTCTTTAAAAGCTTCTAGTTGATCTTTTTAGCTAAACATGGAAGTTCATTAAAAATTTAACACGATTAAACTCTAACGGGAAGATAATTAATAGTTTTAGTGTCCAACTTTGGAAAACATGAAAAGAGAAATTGCTACTATGCTACGCAGCAATAATATTAATATAAATTGGTACGTATATATTTCTTACTAAAAATTATTAAATTATTCCAAATAGATTTAAAATATTCTTTCGTACAAATATCAAACCAAATTTCCTACAATAGCGTCTAACAAGTAACATATGTATTCTTAATCATTTTTCAAAAATAAAATACTACGTTTCAAATAATAATAAAATATGATCAGCAACTATAAGTTGTAGAATTTGTATTTTTCAAATTTTGAAAAATCAGTTGTACTTGTAAAGTATTTTTTGTTTTTAAACATAGATCATAGATCAAATCGCATCTAGAATATTTGTGAGTAATATAATAATAATTATTTATAATTATATATATATATATCAGAATATATGTATACAATTTAATATGTATACAATTTAAAAATATTAATTATTTGATGTTAAAGAAACAAAGAATATTTGAAAAATATCCTTAATTATCATCGTGCTTAAGAGGAATTAATCGATAATATAAGATTAATCGATAATATAAGATATACGTGGGCTCTTCTCTTTAGACATTATCAATCAAAGCG